TCCATAGACACTTGTATTTGAAGAGTGATACCGAGGAGAGATTCTTCCGGAAAATAGAACTAGGGTTCCAGTGGACAATGGGTCTTTTGGGAAGGTGGTCAAGATTGGAATGATACTGCCTAACAGGGCGGCATGCAGGAGGGGGAGGAAAGAAGGTAATGAATCTGAATCCATGGGGAATGTGCTGTATGTCATGAGTATGCTGTGAATGCTTTGAAGTAAGAACTGCTGTCTTTATTTTAAAGTTACTATCCCCAAAGTTCCAAACTTCCCACGTCCTGTGTTTGCTGTCCTTGGCGGGGAAGCTGGAATGGAGGAGGAGAAACAGACTTGAAATTGGTGAAGGGGGTCGAAGAGATGATGAGGAAAGTAGGCCTTTAGGCTCAATGCTTATAAGCTGTTCACAATTAGCAGAGCCCTGGCAGGCACAAATGACGTTTCGATGTATTTGTTGTCACTGAAAACGCTCATTGAATTAATTTGGAAATTATATTTCTGAGGTAATTTCTGTGGTTCATGTCATTATGGATTCAGAACGCTCAAAAATGCACACATACTTTATGAGTCATATTTGTTCAGGAATAATGTAGCTTGAGACAGCATCTTTGAAAGCCATATTACTTGTTCCAGGACTGTATATATTTGGAAGCAGCCAGAAATTTCTGGCCAAATTACAGAATTTATGAAATTTACATCTATACTTGCAAACAGATGGGCATTTGACACAGCACTGGAATAAAGTGAGATGCACTGCTCTTTGCCCAGTGGAGATGGTGCTGACCAGTAGAAGTCACACTTAAGTGCAGGAGGAGATGCAGAGTGCTTCCTTGTTGAAATGCTTCGTTTGTAAGTTGACACTCTTCCGAGTGTCAAGAAATGAACTCTTTCAAAAAGAAAATCAACCCAATTGGAGGTATTAAGAAAGTGTTGCTCCAGAAAGTGAATTTCCATATGTCATCTATGATTCAGTTTCTGCCCCCACGCCTGTGTTTTACCATTTAATGCCTTCATTTATCTGTCCATTGACTCAGCAAATATGTACACGTGACACACGCTGATGTGATGGTGACCAAAACAGAGATGTCATCTGCCCTCAAAGAGTTCACAGTACAAACAGGAAAAAAAAAAAAAAAAGAAAAACAAGGAATCACAATTCCAGTGCAATGTGTTAGGGTAACACAGCAAGTCAGCACAGGTACCATGGGATTCTGAACTAGATTTGGGCAAAGTCTAGCCTGAGACCTGAAGAACCTGCTGGGAAAGATGGGAAAGAGCTTTTTTTCTTACTTTATTTATCGTTCCTGCCACTCTAACTTTCCCCCAAATGTTGAGCCACTTATCGTTTAAAACTACTATCTAAATCTGTCCAAAATTCCCACGGCCTAACGTTTCATAAAAATAGCTACACTAAATATTGAAGATGAAAGAGGAAAGAATACGGAAGATATAAACAGCACAAAGACATGCTAGCCCTCAAAATCTCAAAATGTAGGGTGTTGATTCTTAAGATAATTATACACTGGGTCCAAAGAAGTAGGGCAAATTAGCTTGAACCCAGCCTGGCATTCTGTTCTCCCAGATCCACATCTTCTTAGAAGTAAGGATATTTGTTTTCATAGCAAGGAAACAGACTTGTAGCTAACTGTCCATTTCCAATGAAAGGTGGAAAAACATCTTACCTTTTATAAACAAAAGTATCTCTCATTTTTATTTCCAATACTTGGCAAATGACAGCATTTTACGCATCTAATTGGCCATATAAAGTATGAAATAAAATGAATTATCTCATGCTCACTCCACAAAAGGTATGTTTTTGCTGACACTGCTTGCAAGATACGCTTCCTTAATTTCCTTAGAGTAGAAAATTTCCTTACAGTAGCATCAAAATAATGATGTTAATGTATTACATCACTTGGAAGAAAATAGTTATCCATAAGTTTATACACATATACATAAACAAATGAATAAACAGATAAATGTAGAAGACAGTGATTTTTCTTACAGTAGAATGCTAATTGAGTTCCTTAATTGAGTAATTTCCTAATACTCAAGCAAATTTTCAACCTTGAGCAATGGACATATACAAAGATACGAGGTCAGCTACAACCTGAAATCACTGCCAAATTAAACTGAGAGAAGTATGAAAGCAGTTGCTTAAAGGTTACCGAATTACTTTTTCTAAGGGACTTAGGCCTGTATAAGTCTATTTCTAAAAAATACGGACCTAGCTTTTCTTTCTACTCTTCTCTTCCTGTCTCTTCCCTTTGTGTTCATTTTCAAAAGTTGTCTCTTTGTTGCGCTTTTTCTTATCCTTCTCTTCCCTTCTCTACCTTTGAGGTGACAAGACACAGTGAGACTGTAAGGCCATACCTGAGCAAGTGTCAGAATCAACGATGGTAGCTGGGGCTGGTGGAGCCAGGATCAAGGATGCTATCAGATTACGAGAACCTATGGAGCATGATAAATAGATAGTTAGGATCAAGGCCAGTGGGGCCATTGCGGGATGTGACCAGGGGCAAGGAGCCAAATGGGGCAAATGGTGGTCAAATAGAAGCCTCCAGCCATAATCCCCCCTACAGGAATGCCAAATGGAACAACTATCTGCACACAAAAAGTACCTTCATAAGAACCAAAAATCAACTGAATGATCACAGTATCTGGTTTTACCATTATATTAAGGTGCTGAGGCTGAAAAGATGGTTGGCAGAATTGAGATGTTAGTCACATACATGGTGAATGATCAAATACATGTTGAGGATAATGGGAGTCAAGTTTCCCACTTTTAGAGAAAAATTTTGCATATATAGAAAGGGTATAGGCTACAGGGAATGCTGTGGTGTTGAGTTAGATTTAGAGATACTAATGGAAGCTCGTGTTTGATGGATAGATGGATAGAGAGATAGAGAGAGAAAGATGATAAAGAAATGTATACAGTTGCTACATTTTGTGTGTGTGTGTGTGTGTGTGTGTGCACGCGCGCGCGCGAATATATGTGTATGTGTGAGACTGATAGCTCTGTCCACTGTGAGGGCCTAGAAACGATACTCCTAAGGGAGATGTGAGTACACCCAGTGCCCAGATCTTGGTTTCTAAAAGCCACTCTTCACTACAGAAGAGTTCCTTAGAGAAAGGGCTGACTCAAAGACCAGAATAGGAAAAGTACAAGATGCATCTGGAGTGTCTTGTGCCAGAAAGTGAGGAAATGCTCAAATAATGAGGGAGACTTGTCAAAATGATATATGTGCTAACATCTAGGGGCTCCTAATGGCCCAATCTGGGATAATGTGAGAATCAAAATAAATAATGATGTTAATGTATTACATCACTTGGAAGAAAATAGTTATCCATAAGTTTATACACATATAAATAAAGGAATAAACAGATAAATGTAGAGACAGGGATTTTTCTCACAGTTGAATGTGAATTGATAAATGTAGATGAATAAGGAAATTAGAAAATCACCACTGAGTAACCATCATTGTAATAATTGCTTCAGCCAAAAATCATCAACATATGCTAAATCTAGTGTGTGAAGATTTAAAGAGTAATAGAATACTTATATAATTTCAAAATATTCCATGCATGGGAAGATTCGCAATTTTGCAATAGAGCAACATGGCACACATTACCTTCATCAATTGATCAGCATTGTGTACCTCCTGATATGATGCACTGTGGAGAACAGGGAATCACTCGTTAGGAATCCCTACTAAAAATCCATCATCTGAATGTAAATGAGGAAACATCAGGCAAACTTTAGAAAATAACTGGCCTGTACTCATCAAAAGTAACAATGCCACAAAAAAAGCAAGGAGAGACAGATAATGTCCCACACTGAAAACTAAAGAGATATGACAACAAAATGCAGCACGTGATCCTGGATTAAATCCTGTGCTTGAAAAAAAATAACAAAAAAGTTTGTTTTTTAAATAAAAAAGGGTATTCTTGAGACAATTGGTGAAATGGGAGGGATTTAAGGATTAGGTGGTAGGATTTTATCAATGTTATAAATGTTAAATTTCTGATTTTGTTGAGTGTATGGTGTTATGTCTACAAATTACACTCAAATAGTTTGAAGGAATATATACGTGTATATATATACACACACACACAAAATAATATATATACATACACACACAACAATAAATGTAAAGTGGAGAAGTAAATGTAGTAACAACTGAAGAAGCTGATAGTGCTTTTTACTATTCTTTTTTTTTTTTTTTTTTTTTTGAGACAGAATTCTACTCTTTCGCTCCAGCTGGAGTGAAGTGGCGTGATCTTGGCTCACTGCAACCTCTGCCCTCTGAGTTCAAGTGATTCTCCTGCCTCAGCCTCCCAAGTAGCTGGGATTATAGGCGCCCGCCACTACACCCAGCCAATTTTTGTATTTTTAAAACAGATGGGGTTTCACAATGTTGGCTAGGCTGGTCTCAAACTCTTGACCTCAGGTGATCCACCCGCCTTGGCCTCCCAAAGTGCTAGGATTACAGGTGTGAGCCATCGCACCTGGCCTCTTATAACTTGTCTTTATAAAAGTTAAAAATATTTCAAAATATGTAACAAATAACCATATATTATTTATAAATGCAATGAAAGAAAAATATCTTAACAGAATTAATAAATACAGTTTTAAACTTTTTAAAAATATTGATGAAAATGTGGAACTAAAAAGCCAACAGCATTATCTATATTTCAACGTTCACACTTTTTAAGCACTGTACTGTTCTGAAGGTAAAGTTATATTTCATCTTACTTTTCCTTTCATGGTGTTTGGGCTATTGCCTAAATTTGAAAAAAAAAAACAACAGAATACTCATAACTAATACATAAAATTTACAAAAAAGGCTATCTGAAAACTTCAAGAAAAAATTGTCATTTTCTTTATTTTTCAATACTTCTATATGAATGACATAATTCAGAATCAGAAAAACTCAGTTTTGTTCTCAAAGGAAGTAACAATCTAAGTGAATTTGCTTGCTCTCTCTTTCTCTCTCGGCTAGGTTTCATATGTCAAAGCTATTGATATTTGGATGGCAGTATGCCTCCTTTTTGTGTTTTCAGCACTTCTGGAGTATGCAGCTGTAAATTTTGTATCAAGACAACACAAAGAACTTCTGAGATTTCGACGAAAGAGAAAGAATAAGGTAAGTGATGAAATGTTTTGGGTTTGGCAGCATCCAGTTTTCACTGGAAAGTGAATTTGTTGTATTTAATAGAGATGAAAAGAGAGGCAATTGGGACTGGGGATGAAATAATATAATATTCCTTTCATTTTTTTTCCAATCCAAACTAAAAATGTCAAAAATAACTTCAGGGAGAAAATGATGACACTTAGCTCTACTTTAAACAGCATATCTGGTGACATGAGACCTACATCAGCTTCTTTTTAATGTGCTTCCTGGAACGACCCTTTTTTATTTTAATTAATGAATTATATCATTTCTTACTTTCAATGTTAGAGCATTTCTAATGGTTTCACTTGACGTAAGTCATCAAATGTAATTATTAAAGTTCTTTTGTCAGAGCTAATTCATTTCATTATTTTCATCAAATATTACTTATTTACTAATACCATGATGATAAATACATGAAAAACTCTGTGGTCTCTTTTTAATGCATATTTTCATGAACTAAAGACATTTCTTTTGAAACCCTGTGGGAAACACAAGAAAGTCCTGTTGTTTCCTGGCTACTATCTGATAAATGATGAAACCAGGAAGAAACTTAGAACATCATGAAGAGACCATAGCCAGTTTCAGAAGTAAACGCCTAATTGGATTTGGATGTCCTAAATGAAGTTTTTCCTCTATGCAGAACTGTAATGGCATCTCCCTTGACATGCACGTGGTTTTGACCAATCCGCTTTCCTTTTCTGTAAGAGAGATCCTCTATCAACAGCAGATCTATGCATTTACTTCTAATGTGAATGTGCCAACAGACATTTTAAAAGTAAATGGTCTCTTAAAGCAATGGACAGTAATATCAAAGTTTTGTGTAATTGTGGCAAGGATCCAATATCCTGGCATATTTAAGTCAAAACATAAACCTTAATGATAATAGTATAGTTCACATAGTGTGCATTTTTAAGTATGTAAAGATTTAACTTTTTAAGGATTCTTTATGGTTTATAAATTATACTGCAATTTATGTATTTATTACACTTGTTTAAAAAGCTTTGACGTCTCAGTGTTTGAGTCTACTTAGTATTAGACATATTCTAAAGCAGTAACTTACTTATCATTTCTAATTGACCCTCCAAAAAGCATCACTGCTCCAATAAACACACAATTCACAGCAGCATGGAAAGAACATCAGCATTCAGCATCAGAGATTCAGTAATACATGAACAAAAAACAGTGCTAAGACTTGTGTTTAATCAAATTTTTATGAAAACAGAAGCATATCTTTTGTACACTGAAACATACTGTAATGGGGAGATTAACTTTATCTTCTTCCCTCACCTCACCCTGGTCTACTGGTCTGTTATATTTTCTCATTTCTGCTCATTCTGCCTTTATCTCTTTTTCTTCCTCTTCTCTCTCCCTCTCCACATCCTACTTTCTCATGTTTTCTTTCATAATAACTGGCACCGGTTGAACAACAATGACAGTACAAATGCTGTATCACGGGGATGAGGCTCTGGTCTTTCTTTGGTATTAGTGACTGATAAAGACCACTTTCCCTTTTAGTATCATTAATTAGAAGTAAAGCAATATGCATGTTCCCTATCATTATGATTTGCTTTTTGTCATTTTGATTTTCCATTTCCTTACCTTTTTCCTTCTCCTTATACAATTTAGAATGTATCAAGCAGGTCCTGTAAATTCTGGAAAAGAGAAGTTTTATGCATCCGGTGTCCAAATGGGTAAAGTGTGAAAGCTCAGACATATCCTACATCCACCACACATTCAATAATCACAATATCCAGTAGACAAAGTATTAGATGACAAGTTTGTATGCTCAATTCTGGATCCTTCTTTTAAAAAAATTATTTTTACCAAAGTGCCTCTTTACTCAGTTTTACCACATGTAAAAGTGAAATAAAAATATTTGATGTTCCTTCCTCTTTAGCTCATAGAAAGAGGGAAGCATTCATTTTCTCCAGTGACTGGTACTCTGGGAAAATGCAGAAATGCAAAAACAGTCATATCTTATTTTTTTCTGATAACTACTTGATATATTCAGGGAGCAAATGTAATTAAATGTAATTTTGATTTAATGAAAAAAAGAGTTTTTTAAAATTCAGTTTATATGTTGGGATAGATACTTTGCATATGTGAAAATCTATTAATTGCTACCTAGGTCTGTTCAAATGGTATATGCAATTACAACCAATTGTGTAATTATATTTAATCATATATGAATTGATTCTCTGGTTTCTCAATTCCTCTTGGTCCACTTTACCTTCCCACAGACAGAAGCTTTTGCATTGGAGAAGTTTTACCGTTTCTCAGATATGGTAAATTGACTTTCTTAACTCTAAATAGAGGAATGTGGTCATCAGTAAAAAGCAGACAGCATATTCTGCACTACCAAGGCAGTGTTTGGTGGGGAAACGTAGCCCCTTTTGTATTGAAAGCGGAGCAAACACCATCCTCCTTCAGCTAAGAAGGTTATTTTCTTTTTCTAAAAACTTCATTCTTGTCTTCTCTCATCCATAAAAGGTTATTTAAATATTACCCTACATTTTTTTAACAGAGCTATTTGATTGGTCAAAATGATTTAAAAATATATGTTAAAGAGAAATGTCACATATATCTTGTAATAATCATCATAGAAGAAACACTCAGATACTTGTACAAAATTAGTTGAAAATAAATGGAAAATTTATTTATACAAACAAATTCTAAAAGCAGCTGCACAAGAGACCTCAAAATAAGGCAACAAAATGCTTTGTGCCTTCTGTGTATCTTTAGAATCCATTCTAAATGTTAAAATATGCTGAGGTTACTTATAGCAAGTGAACAATTTAGTTTTGATAGCAGCATCCTTTGAAATTGTCAAATAAAAAGAGTTCACAGAGGCACATGTCCAAGTATAATGACTAAATATTAGGAAAGCAATATAAAATAGATAGTTTTGGTCCATACGTGGTTTGACTTGGGGGTTCATAATATAGTATACAGTAATTACATAGAAATCTATTGAAGCCAAGAATTTAGCCTGGGAAATCACACACAAATAGTTCTGTCTACTAAACTTAATTTCTGGGGTAAATTATATCTAAAAGTAGCTACCAGATGATTCTACTGTACATTGCAAGTAAGCATCCCTGCAAGAGACATAATGTTAAATAATTCTTGCAGTAATCTCAACCTCATAACAGATTGTCTAGATCTGGTATTATTTTAAAGTACTTGCTAAGTTCTCTTATAATATGTAATCACTTAGCAATTGTCCTTTTGCTACTAAAATTTACATCTTATTTCCCAGCATCCCACTTCTCCCTTTGTTTTTCATCCCTGAAAGAAAATTTCACATGATCCACTTGCTTTTACTTGATTATCTTAACTGTAAATTTTTCATGGCATGGAATTTACATAATTAGATATAGTGTTTGCAATATATATTTATAGAAACAAGTGGGTATTAGACTATATAGCAGACTCTCTAATCTTTCTTTGGAAGACCAACATAATTATATCTCTAGTAGCTAAACAGTTAATGTTTATAGAAACTATAGAATGAAAGGTATCTATTTAATTAAATATTACTTTATGAAAACTCTAATGAAAAAACAGGCTTATTGTATGGAAAGTCAATACATTTTTATTTTTATAGAAGAAACAATATGATAACACAGATATAGTCATGAGAAAGTATATACATCCCCTTTGTGTTTAAAATATTTCAAGCATTTGGCAAATTTGGGGGTGATTGGTTTCTTTGACTTTTTGAAAACTATTTCCGTAAACTAACAATGCTCTGAGCTGATCAAATTTGTCCTTTAAAACTATGTATTTTGCTTAGAAACAGTATGAGTAATCTAAATTTTGAAATAAACAGAATCAAAATGAGTCTCAATGTTTGTATTATGCCCTTTATTGTCATGAGTACTGGTTTACATGGATTTTCTTCAGTACTCTAATTTGGCAGAACAGGCAAAGTAAATAAAATAGTCTCACTGTAGAAAGTTTGCCACAACAGGGGACCTTACATTAATGCAATTATTGTTCCTAGGAAAGTTTTAACTAGGCTCAGCATTGACCTCAGCATTGTATACAGCTTTTTTAAACTTACTTTTTCCTCTGTGAAGGTACCAGAGAATCCTGCGTCTATTCTGAAAGAACACAAGTTTGCTCTTGTATCCAAATTTCCCCACCCCACACTGTCCCAGCCTGCTGTGTGCTGATTACGCACTGCACCATGTCATGGATGCTATCTCCAGTGCTGTGTGTGTGTGCGTGTGTGTGTCTGTATGCATGATATGGAAGCATTTTGGCTAGAGTTGCTATTCCCATGTATGATATCATTACTTTAGTCCTGGAGGCTTAAAAAGACATGCCAAGGTATTTCCAAACATATTTTTTGTTGAGAGTTATGGATGAAATGGGATTGCTTTAATGCATTTCATGTAGCTTCCTCCACAATGCAATGTAATAGTGCAATGGTTTGCTGCAAGAAAACATATGTACACAGTATTCTAGTGCCTGTTTCCCTACTGATGATTATTTATTAATTATTATTTATATATGCAAATGAAATAGGAATGGACCATTAGTTCTAGATTTAAGAAATCCTGACCAAGTTTATGTTTTGCTAGGCACAGTGGTTATCTTTTGAAAAAATAAAGCTATCATTGACTGCATTTTGACCATCTGTACACAAACTTTATTTTATTTACTTATGTTTTCCTATGCTGTCTAACTTTAAAAATAATTCAAGATAGCTTCTAAGGATAATAAATAATTGATTTTCTGCCTTGTGCATTTGTTAAGTCTATAGTCTAAGGATAAATACAAATGTACATATATACTATTTTGATGAAAGTGAAAAGGATTCATGTTTGAAAGCCATATGGCATCCATATACACTGATTATTCAATAATCTTTCCATTCCAGGTCAGCTTATGCTGTTCTAGAGCTAAGATTTTCTTTAAATAGATTAAGTGTTTCCTACAAATGTCTTCCATGCATACCTGAAGAATAGTTATTTCCCAATAACTTAGATTCAAACAAAATTCTATTTGAATGACTCTAATAACAGGAGTTGAAATTGCATCCTCTCAAATAAGACAAAAATTGTAAGACTTTAGTTATTCCCTGGAAACAAATATTTAAATATTTAGTTTATGCTAAACTCAGCTATTTCTTATAGCTATATATTCTCTGAAAATCTGTTCAGGACAATAATATTTGACAAAATAATATAATCTCTGTTTAAATGTACATGCATTTGGTGACTTCCATCTCAATGTTAATTAAAATAGAAATGCTGCTTTTTAACATATGATGTCTATTGTAATACCCTATGTCACGCCATAATTATGAGTTGGCAGTAAGTGAATCTAACATATTATGCTATAAATAGATATGTAGATTTTTAAATAAATCATTCCATTGATTTCTTATCTGTCCTCTATAATATTTCATCTAAAACATTAATGTTTCTAAATTTACATTTTTAAATTTTTACATCTTTTAAATTTACCATTTATCAATCTTCAAACCATTTCTGAATCTAAGTTTAATATGCCAATATACACTTGGCTAATTAATAGCGAATTCAGTTGTCATCTATAATAAATGCAGGGTTCTCCTGGAGTGAAATTTCAAATAATTTTATATTAACAATTCACTTACAACAACAAAGTGTTTTTTAAACCTCATCTATAATTGCATTATTTTAGACTTTCCATTTATAAATGATATAAAAATGTGTGTAGATATATGAAACTGAATATTTTATTTTAGACTTGTATTTTAGAAAAACAATTTTAATTCACTCACATTTTTCATCTGTTCTTAATATTCTCAAGGGACAATGATGTTTCCCAATAAAATGAGTCATTGCTGTTTATTAGCAATTTAAAATAATCCACACATTTTGAAATAATATAAGTAGAAATTAATAACAATTTAATTTTCCTTCCTTTATTACATTACCATTTGGTAATAACATTACAAAAAAGTATTTAACAAAAAGACATTTGGAATAATCTATTTAATATTTTAATTGTATAAAGATTGCCCCAAAGGCACCTACTAAGGGAGAAACATTAAGATGCAAATAATGTGTTTAATGCTGTTATACCTTACAGCATTTCACATCATCAATACTTCATGCTGTTCTAGATGCTTGATGTTTTGTTCACACTCAGTGGCAATCTTCATGCCTTCATCACTCTCACATCCATGTAAGTTTTCTTTTTTCTGGTCATTTTTGAGGACTAAGAAGAAGATACAAAATTAGTCCTTGCCTCACACATGTGTTAGTACACAGTATCATGTTTGATGACAGAGATGAAGCAATTTCATTCAATGACTGTATGCACCCTTCTATTTTCTGTCTGTCTCTAATATTTCTAGTTATAACTTGCATTTTATATGAATCAGTGTTTGGCATAATTGAAATAAAATGAAAAGAGACATACAAAGTCTCACAGTATGATATAGAAGCATAATGACTGAAATGTTCTTTTTGTCAGTTTTAAATTTACAGAAAAATGATATTCCTGTAAAAAGAATTGTGTGGTAGCTAAATGGTTGTCTCCATTCTTCATTGCCTACCATTCTAACTTGCTTGAAGCATAGTAAGAAGGTTTACTTGTGGGTAAACTAAACTACTTCTTTAACTTTTTAATCAACGATTTTGCCCACTTCCTATATTTTATGTTGTCAAGGCCTTAATTTTATAACCACTAAAGATTGGCTAATACATAATGTCTCTGAGTCAAAAATTCTAGATATATTTTTTATTCCTTGCTTTTATGACATGTAATCCATGAAAATGTAAGCTGAAGCTATTTCCAGAAAATTAAATTATCTCAAAAAAATATTTGAGTGCTAATTACAATAAGGAATATCACTGCACATGTAAGCATACATAAACACAGGATAATTTATGACTGGGTAATGCAAAGCAGAGAAATTAGCAATAAAATATTTCAGTGCTGCTTCTTATTTAGTAATCTAATAATAACAATAAGCTGATAGAAAAGCTTCATCCCTGCTTAAAATTATTGTTTAAGTGAAACCTTTCAAAAAAGTCCCAATAAGCCAATCATTTAAAAAAATCCCTTGATGTTTTTAAGGTCCAGGGGCTCATGGTCTCTCTCATCCCCTGTCTTCCTGTGAATGCAGACAGGACCCTATACAGGAGTCTGTTCCTTTCCTTCCCATGGAGCTGACAACCTGTTTCTGAAAGGGCCCTGATATGACTCCACATGCCTCATCTCATGGGCACACTCAGAATGATCTCCACTCTTTCATACAACACATTTAAAACACAAAGACTCT